GGTAAGAGAGTGGTTAGTTCAGAGCAGATAGTCTGGGAGATAACTGAGGGGTGGAGCGATTGCAGGTCACGGTGTAGGTCAGGTGAGGAGTAGTTTTGTAAGGCAAAGCAGAGGGTGAGATGAAAAACCTATAACTTATGGTTAGATAGGGGGACTTTGGAATTCTTGAATAAGGAGGTAACACATCTGTGGGTGAGGACAAGATCAAGGGTATGATTCTATAAAGATTGGCCAAAGTCTTGAGTGCTTATGGATCTCATTCAGGAGACCCTGAAACAATCAAGGATTTGACTTGCTTAGCACAATACAAACTTCAAAAAGGACTTTACCAGCTATCTGGCTCAGTGGATAGAGGACTGGACATGAAATCAGGAAAGTGAGTTCAAATCATCCTGAGACACTAAGCTACGTCACCCTGAGAAAGTCATTTAACTTCTGTATGCCTCAGTTTTCTCATCAATAGAATGGGGATAAGAATGCCCCGGGTATTCCCTCCCCAGGTTGTTTATGAGGAGAAAAAAAAGATGATATTTGTAAAGTGCTTTGACAACCTTAAAGCACTATACAAATGCTATCTCTTATGGTAATGATGACCTATTGGGAATCCCTCTCCAAACTGGACTCTACTTTGGGTCTTCTACATGATAGTGACAAGTACCTTTAGTGACTGTGTCACCCTATTTTATCCTTTACCTGATATTGATAATCATATGACAGGAGGACAGGGTAATCTCTGTCGTTTGACCTAGCACAGAGTGTCAAGTAATTTAGATGTATGCATGGGACATGCATGGAAGAGAGCCAAAAGGTGGTATTTTCATCCTACCAAATCAAATGTTTTTAAAGAGAGTCAAAAACCATAAGCAAGGTGAAACCTTGACGTCTGCATAATTCAGTCAACTGTGTAATGGTAAAGATATGATCTAATGTTGAAATATTATTTGGGAAAGACTGTCTGTTCTCTACTAAAGTCTTCATCAAGGATGTCTTTAAAACCAAACATATTTCCACATTAGTCATGTTGTGAAAGAAGAATCAGAACAAAAGGGAAAATCCATGAGAAAGGGAAAAAAAGAGAAAGAGAAAATAGTGTGCTTTGATCTGCATTCAGACTCCATAGTTCTTTCTCTGGATGTGGATAGCATTTTCCATCGTGAGTCTTTTGGAATTGTCTTAGATCATTGTATTGCTGCAAAAGCTAAGGCTATCAAAGTTGGTCATCACACAATGTTGCTGATGTCCCAGCAGAATTGCTGTATGATTTTTCCACTATGTGTGAAAGAGTGAAATGACAGGTGGTGGGAATGATGCAAGGCTTAGGCTTAGGCATATTTGGTGGTATGATAAGGGAGCCAGAGATTCAAGAGAGGACAATGTAGAATTGAATTCTCTTGGTTTCTCTAAGTGCACCAAGGGGTCAAGATGGGCAGAAGATGAGAGAGTGGCTAGTTCAGGGGGCATAGCCTGGGAGATATTTGAGGGGTCAAGGGATTCCCCTTTCTTTATGTCTAAATCATGTACCCATTTTGACCTTATCTTGGTACTCAGTGTGAGATGTTGGTCTATACCATACCTACTTTCTGCCATACTATTTTCCAGTTTTCCTAGCAGTTTTTGTCAGATAGTAAGTCCTATCCCAGAAGCTGGAGTCTTTTAGCAAACAGTACATTACTCTGGTCATTTACTGCTGTGTCTTGTGTACCGAAACCATCCCACTGATCCACACTCTAAGCCAATGTCAAAGAGTTTCGTTGACTTCCACCTTATAATATAGTTAAAGATCTGGTATGGCTATGCCATATGATAGAACTTGTGCACAGCCTTGTTCTCTGCTAAGGTATCCCAGGAAGACTTTATGGACTTTGGATTCAGCAGATCTCCGCCCACACCCACCCACACCCACAATCTCCCCCTTTCCCCCTCTCCTCACCCCCCTACCCCAACCTTGGGCAGCTTTTCATAGATTCTTCAAACTCTCTCAAACTTCCTCCACAACAAAGAAATCCTAACTGCTAACATTATCTTGCCTCATTCAGTCTAGGATTCTCTAGAGCAGGACACAAGACAGGCTGAGAGGTCCTGCCCTGTGCCTTTGGGCTGCGAGGGGAATGAGGCAGATCTGAATTTGAATTCCATTTCCACCAGGCACTTGCATAAAGACCAAGAACAGGTTATCTCCTCCTCTCTTGCTTTCAGTCTCCCTCCTTGTAAAATGTAGGGTTAGGGCTAGGCTCATGCAACGTTTATACCTAGGGGGAATTTCCTCCCTTCAAGGATGGAGGAAAACAAAAAACAAGCTTTTGTTAAGCACCTACTATGTGCCAGGCAGTGTGCTAAGCATTTTACAAATATCTCATTTGATCCTCGCAACAACCCTGAGAGGTAGGTGCTATTAAAATAGGGCTTCTCATTTTATAGAGGAGGAAACATAGACAGAGGTCACACAGCTACTAAGTGTCTGAGGCCAGATTGGAAGTCAAGTTTTCTTGACTCCTGGCCCAGCGCTCTATCCATTGCACCACCAAGCTGGGAGGGGAGTCCAGGACCTCACAGGCTCTCATCATGTCCCTCCATCGAGGTGCCCTAATGAAGAAATAAGAGGATCCCTGTGCATGAAGATTAGCAGGGATAAAGCTACCAGAGTGGTACAGAGTGAAGGTGAGAGGGTGGGGATGTGAAGGGGGGAGAGGGGTGAGGAGTGAAGAGCAAGCACTAGAAAGGAGGTGCCATCAGTGAACTGAGGAAGGGGAAAAGAGGACAGATAGACAGAGACAGAGAGAGAAAGGCATCTCTGAAAACATCTAGTCTAACCTCCTCAGATTTTCTTCCAAATCTTTTCTTTTTGTTGAGGAAGTGGAGGTTGGTGGGAGGAGCATCGTGGTGGATTGGAGACCACCCCACAGAGCATACTTGGGGATGGGCTGCAGGGGAGGGGGTGAGACATCCCATAGATCATGTGTAGCTCTGAACCTGGACCCTGGACACTTCTGGAAAGATACGTGCTCTGGACGCTTGTGGAACCACTGGTTGGTACCCAAGTGCCAACTCCCCACCATCACCTGTGATTTGGAAGGGACACTTTGTCAAAGAGAATTGGCCACAGAGCAGAAAGAGTGGCCACTCATTAGACTTTGAGGGAAGAGACAACTTTTGTTCTCATCCTCTCATGCCTCTTTTCCAAATGTTTGACCTTGTTTGACCTTTTAATTCATAAAATGGTTTCTGCCAGGCTTGTACCCAAAACTCAGAGAATGGTATATTCTTACTTTGCCACTACCCTGTCATGGCTGGTGCTCTCTGCCCTTCCCCCAGCACCTTGCTCCAATCCTGCTTGAAACCAATTTGTCTTGGACTTTCTATGGGGAGGAAAGGAGCTGCCCCTTTCCTCTCTTCAGCAGCTCATGGCAGCTGCAGCATGTGGTCATCTGGGTGAGCCTGAGGCAGGAGCTCAAAGCTTTCACTGCCTCTCCTGCTTTGGGTTCTTTCTTTGAGCACAGGTATGTTCAGCCTGGAGAGGAATAGACTCAGGGGAGACATGAACACTGTGTTCAAGTGTAATGCTATTATGTAGAGAAGGGATTACATCTGCTCTATTTGGACCAGAGGTTAGGATGATATATGTAGAAATCACACACACATAAAAAAACCACGGGGTTCATTTATGTTTGTTCTTAAAAAAAAAACCTACTAACAGATCTGTCCAGGGTAGAATGAGCTTCCTGGAGAGGTGTTGGGATGCCCCTCCTTAAAGACTTCAAGCTGGATGACCACTTGTCAGGGATGTTGCAGTGGGGATTCCTTCACTGGATGGGATACATTAGGTGGCCCTGCAGGCCCCATTCACTTCTCCAACATGGTGGTTCTGATTCTGTCACTAACCTTTGTTAACAGAATTTTAAATGTAGTCTGGACAGAACTCATCTCTAACCTGTGAATATCAGGAGTCACAGGAAGCAGGCCAGAGACAGGAGCGCCAGGAAACAAGTAGCTATTTAATAAATTGATTTCAGAATAAGGAATGCTCTCTAAACTGGAGCAAAGGCACAGATTATATACGGCAATCACAAGCTGGAAAGGCAGGGTAGGGGAGATGGATTACAAACAATCATTTCCAGGCCCTGAGTGGTTTCCCACGATAAGCCCACAAGTGAGGGATGATGGGGGTGTTCTGGAGTCCTTTGGGAACAGTATTTTTTCCAATTCTTTGGGAGCCATTACTTGGTGGGGCATAGGACCAGAGTTTTGTGATTGAAACAGGTTCCATAGTCTTCGATTGGCTTCACTTAACATACACAGGCATAGGAATACAGTAATTGTGAGAGCATTGTCGAGGGTCTGAATGATCATTTCAGCTTGCATTGTAAGTCTCTGACTCCCAAGCCAGAATCTCCTGAGAAATCAGAACTATCAGCATATTCATTACATCTATCATATCAATAAATATGAAAATCCTAATTTTCTTCACAATCCCTTCTTTGTGTCAAAAGTTGGAACATCGTGTGGTTTCTCCTTCATTCTCAAAGAGGCCCATGACATTAGGAGAGGATGCCATGGATTGCAAGTGAATTGATTTGAGGTGAATTTTATTTGAGGGAGGGCTGTGCAAAGTCACCAGCTTCACTTTCTCCTCCAGAGTCATCTGGATCCAGTGGCCAGACATAGATAGGACAACGGGGGATGGCCGAGGATCTAGTGGGAGAGTTTGGTTTTTTTTAAGCTAAGGTCTCTCCAAGTTTTCACTTTGACTAAGATAATGCCCACTCAGGGATTATGTCTGTTTAAGAAGTGAGCAGTTGGAGCACTGAACCACAGTTCAATGGAAAGAAGTGTGAATTAGATGTCAGGAATTTGAGAAGAGGAAGAAGGCTGGAGGAGGGAGAGGGTCAAGGCTGCCCTGAGCAGTGGAGGGATGGGACAAGCCATGCGTAGGGCTCTGGCAGGGACAAGTTGTGGAGCACCAGGTGTGGAAGCACCAGATGAGGCAGGTGTGCTCCCTCAGCATGGGGCAATGGGCTAGAAACCTCTGGAGATCCTCACGTCCCAGGCTATCACCCATTCAAGGTATTGGTCTATCCATGGCCTCTCTCGGGAGCAGAAGACCCAGGTCAGTCCAGAGCACACAGGGCCACCTTTGCTCTTTCCTGGCCTTGACCTCTCCTTCTGCTCCCCCAACTTTCTCCTGCCTTCTTTATCTCTCCTCCAGTTCCCCTCTCCCATCTCTTTCCCTACACTAATGCCCTTCCTTTACTGACCCCCTCTCTCCTTCCTCCAAGCTTTCCCTTCTCCATGTGTCCTCCCCTCACTTCCTTTCCTCTTACCCTTCATCTTTATTTTCTCTCCCTTTTACCCTGCTTTTCTTCCACCCCCAGATCCTTCTCTCCCTCCTTCCTCCCCTCTCTCCCTCCCTCCTTTTCTTCCTTCCTGCATTCCTTCAGTTCACTTCTCTTCCCTTTACACTTCCTTATCTTCCCTTGGTCTGCCCTCCCCTCTTTCCCTTCCTCTCTTCCTACATAGACTATACCAGCTCTCCTCTTTCTCTCCCTTTTTCTGTGTTTGCTTCTTCCAAACTTCACCTCTTTCCTCCCAGCCTCCTTATAACCATCCTTGACTTCCTCCCTCCTCCCTAGCTTTGCTCTGACATTCACTTGCCCTGGGGCTGCTTCTGACTCTCCCTCCTCTACCAGATCTTCCACTCCACACTCCACCTCTCCATCAGAGGCACCTGCATGGGGTAGATGAGAACCCAAGAAACCCTGTACTCCCCTACTATCGCATGTTCCTACACATCTCCTGATGAGATCCATCCCTCCTCCTCTGCCCTTCTCTCTCTTCGCCCTGGCCAGGCCAGTGCCCCTTTCCTACAGGCTCCTGGATGGTCAGGACACCCTCCCACCTGTCGTCTTCCTGCACGGACTGTTGAGCAACAAAGACATCTTCAAGGCTGAGGCTGAGGCCCTGGCAAAGCAGACAGGCAGGAAGGTAAAGATTCCCAAAAGTGGATGAAGTGGAAGAGGGGACAGTAATCGAGGAGGGACAAAGTCAGAGGAAGCGGGGAAAGAGAGGATGTCGGCCAACGGGGGAAGTTGAAATGAGAGGCAGGAGCTGTGAACGTGGGATAGACCTTCACTCACAAGAGAGGACTTGTAGGGGAAGTCTACCTACAAACTACCACTGGATGTAGGGGGTTCCTTTTCACAGGAGACTTTCATGCAAAGGCCAGATGATCACTTGGTGGGGGAATTTTTGTTCAGCCAAGGGTTGGACCAGAGGTCCTTCCAGCCTGGAGATTCAGCAAAGGTCCCCTATCACCTAAATATCTCCACTACTGACACCTAGAATTCTGCTAATCTTGGAGGTGTCACCATGGCTCAATTGAACCTTTTTTAAAAATTTGTTTTAGATGGCACACATTCCTAGTAATGAACAGTAATTGTAATGCCTTTATGGTTAATGAAGTTAACAGTTACTTTCTTTCCTAACATCACAGAGCAAAAGGAAATGGAAGAAAGCTGAAAGTCAGAGAAAGAGGGAAATCAGTGACCCAAGAACCAGAGTGCAGAAGGACCAGCACTGGCCACAGTCATGGGTGGGGGGATGGGAGAGGGAGCAGAATATTTTCCTTTCTAATGCCATTGTCCTACCGTGGTCCCATCTTCCCCACTTCCTCCTATTGCCAGAGATTACTCAGTACCCCGCTGGCTTCCTGGACAGTTTGAGAGTCCTCAGCAAGCCTATTCCAGCTGCTGGCAGTGGGTCAGCACCCCCAGGTGGAGCGGGAAGGGGGAGGAGTCAGGGAGACTGATAATCCAAGTCTGAGCCCTACAGGTATTGACAGTGGATGCTAGGAACCATGGAGACAGCCCTCATAGCCCTGACTGCAGCTATGAGGCAATGAGTGCTGATCTGCAGGCTCTGCTGTCAAAGCTAGGACTCAGCCCCTGTGTCCTCATCGGGCACAGCATGGGAGGCAAGACAGCCATGGCGTTGGCACTGCAAAAGGTGAGGGAGCCCCACTAGGACTGAAGGGGTAGAATGTCATACTTGTCCACAGACAACAGCAGCCTGTAACCCCGTAAGCAACACCAAAGATTCATCATACTTAGTCAGCTGCTTGGGGGGGTTGGGAGTATACTGAGTCTGGGAGTGAACACGGGACTGGAAGCAGAGAGTTCCTGGGGGAATAACCTGACCTTGACAGTACACACCTCATCTTTCTAAATCCGAAGAGAAGTTGTAGATGCCTGCCCCGGCCGTGGGGCATTTCAGGGTTCAGAGTCAAGGTCTAAGAACTTTTCCTCATAAATGTCACCACCTCTCCAAGGCTGACCCAGAGCATGCAAATGGGAAGACTGGCATCAGGACCACTTACAAGCTATGGAATGGGCACCTATAGTCCCCCATCCCTCCCCTTTGGGGACCATGGTTCCCACTTTCTGTGCCCTAGTACCATCACCAGGTGCACGGAAGAGGAGGGAGGGCATTGTCCATTGTTCATTGTGTGATGGACCTTCTCCTTCAGCCAGAGCTGGTGGACCACCTGGTCTCAGTGGATATCAGCTTTTTGGTGACCACCGACATCCCAAAGATCTTTAAAATTCTACCTGCTATGAAGGCTATAAACATCCTTGGGAATCTTTCCCACTCCCAAGCCTTTGGAGTAATTGATCAGTATCTATTTGTGGAGGTGATCCTTCAGGACCCCCAGGGCTGCGGGTGTGGAGATGGCTTGCTGAAGCCACAAGCCAATCATTTGAGTTTGGAGTCTTCAGGAGAGTGGGGGTGGGGTGGAGTAGAATGCAGCCCAGATGGAGAAAATCTCTGGGGGGAGGGGGACAGGTGAAGGAGAACAGAGAGGGCTTCAATTATAAACTCCTCCAAGGAGAGCCCTATCTTCTACTTTTCTTTGTATGCCCAGCACTTTGTATACTAACAGGAGGCATTTACTAAATGTTAACAATGAAGTGATAGGGTGTATAGAAATGAGCTGGAGTCTGGTCTGAGTAGGACTGAGAAAGGGATAGTGCTGGGGAGAAGACAGGGGCTCAGGTGGGTGTGCCAGCTAAGCCCTTGTACCCTCCAGGATTCAAATAGTCCACAGTATCTGTTCAACAGTCTAGTGTGGGTCAAAGGGCAGTATGTGTGGGCAGTCAATGCTGAAAACCTGTGGCAGCAACAGCACCTGTTTCTGGATAATCTTCAAATCTAGGGAGTCTATCATGGCCCCACACTCTTTCTCAGGATCACCATTTCATCCTTCATCCCGTAAGGCAGGGCCAGAAGGTGGAGGGGCATGCCTAGCCCCAAAGACTTCTCCCTTTCTTGGGTCCCAGTTTGGTTTTCCATCGCCCAGCATGAGGGCACCTGGGGGCTTCAGCTATGCTTGGATTGAGGAAGGGAGATTTCCTCCAACACTGGAAGAAAACATGTGTATTATCTCTCCTCAGCTCTTCTGTCTGCCTAGCCTGTTTTTCCTCCTGTCACCTCCCATACCCACTGCTCATCCTCCTCTACTTTTGTAACTACCTGTTTCTCACTCTCTGACTCATTTTTTCCCTTCTCTCTGTCTCTCTTTGCCTCCTTCTCTGTCTCTGTCTCTCTCTCTCTGTCTGTTTCCTGTTGCTGTCTCTCTCCTCTCTCTTTTCTTTCTTTCCTTCTCTCTCTCATCCTATTCCCTTCTCCCTCTTTCTCTTTCCCCCTCTCTTCCACCCTCTCCTTTCCTCTCTTCTCTTCACCTCTTTCATTCTCTCTCTTTCTCTCTTCACAAGCCAAGTCACCACCCCGAGATCAAGCTCCTATTCCCTGAAGCCCAGTTCCAGACCATCCAGAACGCTGGCCACATTCTCCATATCCAGAAGCCACAAGAGTTCATGAACAATATCCTCAGTTTCCTCTCCTAGAAGATGTTCCCTCTTCCCACATTCCATTTGCCAACTTTCAAACCCTCAGAGAACCCTAGGCTGTTCCTTCAGTTGGAATATTTCATTTTTTAAAAAATCATCTTTTTCTAAGTCAGAACTGAGCAAACACCAATCAATATGAACATTCCCATAGGAAAAAGACTAAGAGAAAAAGAGAATTGTCGACATTACGAATCTCTGTTATGAACAGTTCAGGCTTATTTTCAGTCATTTCATAAGTTCAACATGTTAATTTCCAAGTTGTCTTCTTGTCTTTGGCTCCCACCAAACTTACTTCGGTTCTCTGCTCTGCAATTTTTACATGTTTCAATGACCCACTTTCTTCTCTATTTTAGAATAATAAATACTTTTCTTGTGACCTGGGTAGATAGCAACAGAAATAAACATTTTCATATACAAAGATGGAAAAAAAAAAGGATTCTATATGAAACCATGACTCTACCATATACAGTTTGTTTTTGTGTTTTTTTGGTTTTTTTGAGTTAGGTCAGTTTTACTTGAGGCCTTCACCATCCCAGGTGCTGTGGACACTCTCTGGCTCACCAATGTCTTTTCTAAAATGTGGTGCCTTGAACTGAACACTCTCAACATGAGCAGAATGGAACACATCAGGGCTCTCCCTTCCCGCATTAATAATAAAAACAATATCAACAATAGTCATAATAAGGCTGCTAGAAAGTTCAGTAGAGAGAACACTGGGCCTGGACTCAGGAAGACCTGAGTTCAAATCTGGCCTCCAGCTGGTCAACTTTGGGGAAGTCACTTAGCCTCCATTTCCCCAGCTGTAAAATGGGACTCATAATAACCTCTCCCTCCCAGGGCCATTGTGAAGATCAGATGACATAATATGTGTAAAGCATCTGGCATACAGCAAGCATTGTATAAATGCTAGCTATGGTTATTTTAAGATGATCATTTTTTTTCCCAAATGCGGAGCCAAAGCATTTATCAGCAGACTGTCTATGTCCCCCTGTGAACATACTTCTGTTCTCCTCTGGGTGCTTCTATGTGTTTTACTGATGCTTGGATCTTTCTTTTCTTCTTTTTCCCCATCACTATCATTGTACTCAACTCCAATAAAAGCTCTCCCTTATAACAAATTAGCACGGTCAGTTAAGAGGTATATAATTGTTTAACAGACAGCGGGTGTCACAGGACAGAGACTTGGAGTCAGGAAGGTGTGAGTTAAATCCAGTCTCAGATATTTGCTAGTTGCGTGACCCTGGGCAAGTCACTTAACCTTGTCTTCCTCAGTTTCCTCACCTGTGAAATGGGGACAAGAGCTCCTAGGTCCCAGGGCTACGAAGACCATATGAGATAATATTTGTGAAGCACTTTGCAACTCTTAAATCACTATTTACATGCTAGCTAGAATTATTATAGTCTAGCCAAACGATCAGGAGCTGGCCGAAGGCTCACTCTGCTCCTCTAGCCCATCCCAGATGCAGGAATCAGACCTCAGCAGCATCCCCGGAGGCATAATTATCATTGAACTTATTTCTGAAGTCTGGTTTATCATTTGAATTAGTTTTTAATGAACAAAAATCTATTCTCTTTTCTTCCTGCCTGACCCTCCGATAAAATGAAAGAAAAAAACCTTTGCAATGTGCATTATGAATACTTAAGCAAAATACGTATGTTTAAGAAAAACAAATTCCCATGTGTCCAAAAGTCTATGTGTGTATGTGAGTATATATTTATATGTGCATATATTTGTGTGTATATATTCATACATATATGTGTGTGTGTGTGTGTGTGTGTGTACTTGTGTATGTACACACAGACACACATCTTTTTGTTGGCACCCTGAGCCCATCACTTCTCTGTCTAGAGAGGAGTAGCTTCCTTCAACACTGATCCTCTAAAATCATGATTGGTCATCGCACTGCCTGGAGATGTTTAAGTCTTTCAAAGGTGTTTGCCTTAATGAAGTTGTTGTTGTATAAATTGTTCTCTGGTTCTGCTCTCTTCACTCTGCATGAATTTAGACAAATCCTCCCAGGCTTCTCTGAAACCCAGGATCTTCCCAACACAAGGACAGAACAGCTTCCCCTCTGGGCTAAGGGGACCAGTGTCCTGTAGTCCTCCAGCAGTGAGGTAGGGGGGACAGCCCCTCAGTGGTCAAGGGGGGGATTCAGACACTCCCCATTGTTCCCTTTGGGGCAGGGCTGGGGGAGAGGCACAAACTGTTTCAAACTTTAATGAGAAAAGGCTGATCTCATACACCTTCCCTCTTCTAGCTGAATAAAAATAATAAGCATTTAAATAGCTCTTTAATGTTGGCAAAATACTTTTCCTTCTTGCCCTTGATCCACATAACAACCCTACCATGAATTATTATTACTCTCTTTTTACAAATGAGGAAACTAAAGGTTTCCTCAGACACAAGCCAAAGGTCCCATGGCTTGGAAGTGTCTAAGGTGGGATTTGAGCTCAGGGCTTCTGACACCAAGTCCAGGGATCTCTCCACTGTGCCACCTAGCTGCCAAGCTGAGGTCTTTCACCTTGGCTGTCTCCAGTGCCACAAGGCTTCTCCTGATGCCAATTGGGGAACCACACTGAGGCCCTGAGGGTGGCTTTGCAGAAGGGCCACTGCCCTCCCCCTGCATGTGGCTTTGGATCCGCCAGCTGACCAGCTGCCTCACTTCTCCTAAGAGAAAGGGACAAGAGGGAGGGTGCAAGCTCTGCCAGGGAGAGTGACAGCAAGTCTAAGCCTATAGGGAACCTGGCATAAAGGTGACAGACTTCTCTTGATGTCACATAGGCACATTCACAGAGCATCCCTCCCACACACATACTCCCTCACCCTCCTGCCCTCTACTTGCCAAGCTCTGCCTCAGTTTCTCTTTCTTTGTCTCCAGCAGCTCAGCCTCTTCTGCCAGTTTTTATCTGGCTCCTCTTGTAAGCCCTCAATCCATTGGGAGCTCCTGGAGGGCAGTCTTGCTTTTCCTTTTGTTCATGCATTGCCCACACCTAGTATGGTACTGGCATGCAGTAGGTAGGTGCTTAATAAATGTTTATGGAATTAAATTGTATTGAACAGAAGTCTCAAAAGCTTTTGACCCTGTCAACCATGCCCTCTTCTTGGCCTCTTTCCAAGAATACTGGGAGCTTATGTTCTAATGGGTGAAGACAGTACATAAAAGGAAACTGGAAAGGGGTGGGGTCAGAACCCCGGCTCTAAGGCCAATTCAACTTCATCTAAAGTGTCAAACATTTCAGACAGGTCAAAAAGGATTAGGTGGATTGTGGGAGGTCTCTGTCATTCCCTCCTGCCAGCTGGTGTGGGACCCAGGGAAGGGGTCACCAGGGAGGAAGTAGGACCCTGTCATGGGGAGATTAAGTTCAGAGATACAAAGGGGTGAACATAGGGGCAGGTGAGACTCTTTCCTCAGCACTTCTTCCATGGAAAGCTTTCTCTAAATGAGGACAGACTTGAGGGAGCTGGAATGGTCCCCTAAATAGAACACAGGCTAGGTTGGGATGAGACTTTCCTGAAACTCAAGTTTCTGCTTCGGGGGGGGGGGAGGCAGAAGCACCTGATGTCCCCTGGCAGAGACACTGGGGCCCCATTCCTGCCCTGTTCCTGGCTCTGCCCCACCTCCGACCAGAGCCATTTCTGAGGCCATTCCTGGGGAAAGTCCCTGGGCTCCAGCCCCCCTGCCTGACCCTTCCTGGAGCCCCTCTCCTTGTACCTGATGCATATACATTGACCATTTGTCCCCATGAGTCAGCTCTTTGCTGACATTTCCTCTCTAGGCCCAGCTGGTTTTCAAAAGAAGACTCTTGGAGACTAAAAGCTGCCTGCCTTTAATGGTGAAGAGGCTGCACAAGACCACAACATCCAGGGAGATAATTGTAGGTCAGGAGTCTACACTGCCCATCACATCACAAGGCAGCATTTACATGGACCTTGGGGTAAGTTCCTTGTCTTAACCCTGGCAGATGAAGCTTCTCCAATCTATGGTCATTCCTGTCCCCCTGTACTGAGACCCATCAGACTTTGGCTTCTGCAATACTTCGAGCATTGTCCATAGTTATAGAAACCTGTCCATAATATATGTGAGGGTGAGCTGCAATTGCCCCTACCCCATTTTAGCCTTAACAATCTTAACTATGTGAGGGGAGTCTCAATCAATCCCAGGCTTCAGACTAAATGCAAAAAGGCCATTTTTGCAAAAACAGGAATAATATTGCCTGCAAAGAAATTTGGCCACACTCAGAGTCATCTATAAATCATCAAGAGAAATGGAGAGGGGAGGAAAGATGCTTTATGCCCATTTTTCATTATTACTGATGGGAAGCTTGGGTGCTTGTACTTGGACCCCACTTCCAAGATCATATTTCTCCCTAGCCTCTAAGCACCCATCCCTGATATTTTTTTCCCCAGCTCAAAGGCCCTATCTCTGGCTATAACTCATGAGTGAGCCCAGTGAGGTAAAACATCTCACTACCTCTCCCCATAACAAGAACAAGCTGACCTCTGTAGAATTTCCCTCATATGAACAGGACAATCTTGTATCAACAAAATAATCATCTACTGATTCCCACAGCTGTCATATAGGATCCAAATGTCAAGTTATAGACATCAACTCCCCAAGCTATCTTGCCACAGATATAACAGACCAAAAATATACCCCTATTTCCCTTAGGAAGCCTCTTTCAACCCCACCCCAGGTTTCCAGTAGTGAATGAAGCCTGTGACTAAGGTTGTATGTTATCACCTAATTACTATACTTGGCACACAATCCACTATTTTTCCTAAAGAAGTTTTAGCAGCATTCCTGTTAGGCTTCGAGTTCCCTAAGGGAGCTCTACCAGGCCTCATCAGCATTATAATAAAATTTGTAATATATATAATAAAATTATAATAAATAATAAATAAATTTTACAAGGAGGTACTATAAACACCCCATAAAAGAAAAAATTTAATCTTCTCTGGTATGGATCAAGGGCAAAAAATTTAAAACAGATTCTGC